CTGTGTGTTTCAGTGCGAGAGCAAAAGCACTTTATTTGGCCTTCCGAAAGTAGATGCATTTAGGAATCTTTAAGATTACTTACAACAGAACAGCAATGCATTTTATGGACGATCGTTTCGTGAACCTAGGAGAGGAGGTCATTCTTTGCTTTGTTATGACAATCTATTGCTATGACAATCTGGTGCTTCTGAATCAGCTTATGTTTTGTTATTAGTTTAAGTATTTGATATTGGCTGTTCAAATGCGGAGTTTTGCTCAGCGCAGAGTAACGCGTTGAGTGTGTGTGTGTGTGTGTGTGTGTGTGTGTGTGTGTGTGAGAGAGGGGAACAGGGTCACATCACAGGAGAGTGAACAGTCTGTCAGAAATCATAGCACGTCAGCTGTCTTAACCGCGGCTTGTGTACTGCATCATCACTGTGTCTGTCACGTGACTCTGTTGCCCTTTCGGGCTTGAACTGATGGTAAAACTAACCACATTATTAACTGTCTTGATATTTACTTTGAAAGCTGAAGCTGGTGATTATGGTAAGGGGCGTTACATTTCCGACGAGTGCTTGTGGTGTTCGGCCAATCACAATGCACTGGGTCAGCTGGCCAATCAGAGCAGACTGCGCTTGTCGGAAGGAGGGACTTTGTAGAAAACTAAGTGTTTGAGAGAGGCGGGGCATAGAGGACCTACAATAATGTACAGTATTTGAAAAATTATGTGTTTTTTGAACATTAAAGCATGTCAACATAATCTGTTACACCAAATACACAAAATAATGATCTTTAAAATAGCATCATATGACCCCTTAAAAAACAATATTTTCCACGATTGATAAATTCACACTAAATACTGCCCAGCATTAAGCAAAGTTAGCAAGAGTCTCAAGCAGACAAGCATACAATGTCGGTTGTGATTTCTGTGAAAACATTGCAGAAAACGGAGGACCAAGAGAGCGAATTTGGATTACTTTTTACACAGTTTTGTCAATTTTAACTGATTGATGAAAAATGGGGTAATGTGGAATGCAGTCTAAACAGTTCAAATAAATAATAATACCTGAAATCATTTATAACTGTGATCATTTTAAATTTAGATTTATTAAAAAAAAAAACGTTTTAAATGCTGAGATGTGAGGTTTATAATTTTCTAAAACGTTTGTCAAAATGTTAATTTTATTACACAACGTTCATAGTGTTGGTTTAAAATTTAAAACTTGTTGATATGATTTAAATGTGTATATCCGGTACTTTTTGAACACTTCCAGCACATTTTAACAACACCATGATAATGCAGACAACCATAATAATTTTGGTCATAAAATGTTCATACCATCTCTACATCTAACAAAATATTCGAGGGTTTCCTATTATATTGAAGAAGATATTTCCTCTATTTCTGCTGTAATCATGACAAGGCTGCTTGTTTTCATTTTTACCGTTACTGGAATTGTTATTATATTAAATTAAATACATTTTGAGACTTTAACAGAAGATTAAAGAACCGCATGTTCTTCATTTAAAACTGTTAGTTACTGAGGGGGAAAAAGAGCTATGATTTAATCTTGATTTTATGTGTTTTATTATTTGAAGTTACATTTTTTTATATAATATAATAAATATAATACAATATTCTGTTGCCCCTTGGAAGTTTGATGAGGCCCCCTAGTGGGGCCCCTTACAAGAACTGCTTTAGAATGCTTTATGGAAAAAAAAATAATATATATATATACAAAAAACTCCTCTAGAACAAATCTCACTAAAGAATTAGTTGGACACGGTTTACACTATATGTTTTTTACATTTTCATTTCTGTTTCAGTAATGTAGCCACTTACTGTAAATGGCGTAGCAGCTCAGTGGCGCTCTTTCCTCCAACTCCATTCAGAGCTAGTTTAGGCCGAGGACACGACTGTTAAAAGCAAACGCCGAACACCATCAAAATACAGAATCTCTCTCAAGCTACAGAATGTTTTTACATGTTGCTTTTATAACACAGAATTCACTTATAGACAAAGCAAATATGCTTGTAGGACTAGAATGTTTCGGACACCTTGAAAAGCTCCTTCATTTCTGGCCGTCTTAGCGTCTCTTCTGTGATGACGTGTGTGGCTCCCAGTGCTGTCAGTCTGTCAGAGAGCTGCTGCAGGTCAGGCCTAAAATGACAAACAAGCTGCTTCACACAATAACAACATCAATACAAAGTCACAATACAAAGTTTCTGCACTTTTCGTCCTAAAGGAGCACTCCACTATTTTTGAAAATAGGCTCATTTTCCAACTCCCCTAGAGTTGAAGAGTTGTTTTTTACCGTTTTCCAATCCATTCAGCTGATCTCCGGGTCTGGCGGTAGCACTTTTAGCTGTAGCTTAGCATAGATCATTGAATCGGATTAGACCGTTAGCATCTCGCTCAAAAATGACCAAAGAGTTTCTATATTTTTCCTATTTAAAACTTGACTCTTCTGTAGTTACATCGTGTACTAAGACTGGCGGAAAATGAAAAGTTGTGATTTTCTAGGCCGATATGGCTAGGAACTATACTCTCATTCCGGCGTAATAATTAACAACTTTGCTGCCGTACCATGAGTGCAGCAGGCGCAATGATATTACGCAGCACCTGAAAATAGTCTTATTGGAAGTTACCTAGCTGGGGACTATTTTAAGGCGCTGCGGAATATCCTTTTTGAGCGAGATGCCAACGGTCTAATCAGATTCAATGATCTATGCTAAGCTACAGCTAAAAGTGCTACCGCCAGACCCGGAGATCGGCTGAATGGATTGGAAAACGGTAAAACTCAACTGTTTAACTCTAGGAGAGTTGGAAAATGAGCCTATTTTCAAAAATGGTGGAGTGTTCCTTTAAAGAGCTGTTTTGCAGCCGATACGGGAAACTTATTTTAAGTCCTTCATTAAAAAGTGCAGACCCAAATTTGAGAAGACTTTTTAACTGGGACATGGAGGACGAAGGTCAAGTTCACTCTCAGAACATCTCCATGTATTCCAGTGACAACGCATCTTTTCCAAATCTATCCTTATGTGCTATTATGTCAAGTAGGAATGAATTACTTTAAAATGATTACAGACATCCTAGATGTTAGAAAGGCAACATGAACAGTAGTTTAAAACTATACCAAAATAGCTATTTGGCTATTGATTAACATTAACCAAATGTTTGCACAAACTAGGTGACACCAACAAAAAGGAAAGCCATTTCAGAGGCAAAGCAAATTTGTTGAAACATCATAATAACAAAAAAACCTGCACTGATAAATTATCCACCATAAAACCATGCAAGTGCATTATGAAAATAAATTGCATCAAATTTTGATTTCATGATGAGTTTGAAGGAATTTCACTGAAGGAAGCATTATTATGGATTATGGACTGGTATTTTGGTCAAAAGTGACGCATCTTTTCTCTTCACAAGACACCACCAGATGCTTGGACTCTCATTCTGACGGCACCCATTCACTGCAGAGGATCCACAGGCTTTTCAAAATAAAAAAACAAACTCATCTACATCTTGGATGACCCTGAGGGCGAGCACATTTTCATTTTGGGTCAACCATTCCCTGAAAGTCATTTTTACCTGTCTCTGACGACATTGATTGTTTGAATGCCCTTAGCAGCAGCAATCTGGATAACAGCCTGTCCGACTCCGCTGTTAGCTGCATTCTGGATGACTGTGTCTCCTAAAATACAGAGTTAAGTAAAGACCTCTGTTGTACGATGAGTGGTTTGGATAGAGTTAAGCGCTGCCAACCTGGTTTGAGCTCCTCAAAGTCTGTGAGCATCCTAAAAGCAGTACAGGGATTGACTCCCAAAGTGGCAGCAGACAGTACAGGGATGTCTTTAGGCAAAGTCACCAGATCATCAGCCTTCAAAACAGCTGCTGTTCTCCACGTTCCTGTGCAGATCAATGCAGGGGTGTTAGAGACTACTGATGATCACATTGACCACACCAGGCTTGAACTGAATGTTCACCTATGCCGGCATCTCTTGGAATCACCCAGTCGCCCACCTTGAGTGTCTTCACCTTGTCACCCACCTCCATGACCTGGCCCACACCCTCATTGCCTCCCACTGCTGGAAGCTCAGGCAGGATGGCATATGTGCCTGTTTAACAAAAGTGGGTGAATATACAAAATCATATTTGAAAGATGTTTGCATTCAATTAAAAGTTTCCTGGTTTAACGGAAAGAAATAGCCTATATTTTCCACTCAATCCTAAATATGCAATGCAAAAACATCTCGTTCTCATTATTGTGTGTTTTTTTTTTAAAGATTAAATACATTTTAAATACAAAATTATTTATAATTTAAATGCTGAAATTAACTAAAAAACAACAACAGCATTAATCTAGATTAGGGCTGAATGATTAATTGCATTTGCGATAATATCGCGATATGAAAAAACGCAATTTTTCAACCGCAGAGGCTGTGAACACGCGAGAGTAAAGAGGTGTGTTTGACTTGAAGATCGATCGGTGTATGACATCAAAGTACGGCGAGAGAAAGCATAAGGAGACGTCCGCTCTCTTATAGCTCTCGCAGTACATTGATGACACACCGATCGGTCTAAAGCAGCGCTGCTTCAAGTCGAGCGCATCTAAGCAGTCTTCAGAGGAAGCATCAAGTTGGCACGCTACACTCTTAAAAATAAAGGTGCTTCAAAAGGTTCTTCAAGCGATGCCATAGAAGAACCATTTTTGGTTCCACAACGAACCATTCAGTCAAAGGTCTTCTCTTTCTTACCTTTTTGTAATCTGAAGAACCTTCTTTCGCCACAAAGAACCTTTTGTGAAACAGAAAGGTTCTTCAGATGTTGAAGGTTCTTTATGGAACCATTTAGACAAAAGGTTCTTCTATGGCATCGTGAAGCACCTTTATTTTTAAGAGTGTACAGTGTTGCCAAGTCCGCGGTTTGGGGAACCCCTCCAAAAAACGTGTATTTTACCCCCTGGAACCTGATTTTTACCGGCGGACCCCTAATTCCATCGTAACATATAAGCCTGGCCTACAGAAAAGAACATTTATGTTTAATCTATCTAATATTGTGTTGGTCATACTATACAATGATTTATAGCTTGTTTTTGTTGAATAATACAGAACATAAAGAGCTTTAAAAAATAATAGCATATTAAATCGCAATCGCAATATTGGTAAAAAATTAAATAAAAATCGCAATTAGATTATTTTCCAAAATCGTTCAGCCCTAATCTAGGTTTGCTTCAGTTCAGATCTAAATAAATAAAAACTAGTGCCGTCAAATGATTAATCACGGTTAATCGCATCCAAAATAAAAGTTTTTGTTTACATAATATATGTGTGTGTACTGTGTATATTTATTATGTATATATAAATACACACACATGCATGTATATATTGAAGAAAAATATGTTACGATTATATATTAAATATATGATATAATTTATATGAATACAAATACAGACATGTAAATATTTTCTAAATATATGCTGTATGTGTGTCTTTATATACACATAATAAATATACACAGTACACACACATATATTATGTAAACAAAAACTTTTATTTTGGAATGCGATTAATCGCGATTAATCGTTTGACGGCACTAAAAAAAATTTTTTTGAAAATGTTGGAAATTATAAAAACAACACACGAATCATCCAGACATGTAATGGTAATTTTGGGGGAGATGTTGTTAAAATAAGATCACAATGCATAAATGTCAAAACTTTTATAATTTCACGTTTTTTTATTTGATTTTGGGGAGAAATTTAACACTACGTCCTGTGCTTACTGCCAATGGCTTGCATTTGTCCACTAAGGGTCATTGCTCAGGTAATGCATTATTTATTGAATGTATTACATGCTTTGCTCTTGCCTTGAATCATATTTAAATCAGAGGGGTTGATGGGAGCCGCCAGCATTTTCACCAGGACACTCTCAGGTCCCATTTGTGCCAGAACCAATGACTCCAACCTGCCAGTCATGCAGACAACGCTGTTAACTTTAGAAAACCGTCAACATCTTATTATCTATGGTTCTGGCATGCTTACTGGACGACTTGTGAGGGCTCGCCGTGGTTTCTGTGCAGAAGTGCGGTTCTGTCTCTGGCTGCAGACACAGAGTAGCTGTTTTTAAGGAGGACAGCTGCATCTCTGATCGGCTCGCCGCAGACAAGCCCCGCTGTCCGGTAAACGCGACGCCCCCGTATTAACAGCGATGTGACTCGCGATAGATTCATTTTAAAGTTGTGATATGTCCGCTATCATAGTCTTACAACGTTTAAATAAGCACAAGAGAGCATAAGTCCAAGGAAGTGGCCATGTTGGTACCGTAAAGCCTGTAGTAGAGGCGAAGGGGCTCTTAATGAATATTAATTAGCAGCGGTTACGACATCGCGTACGTCATGGACGGTCCACTCATAACCCACGCCCCTCTTACCTTTTTTAGAAACCTAAAATTCGTTCATTGGCCAGACTGACCAGCGCCCACGCGCTAACGCCTGTGTTTCAGCCAATCAGGTAAGCCTACCGGGCGGAACGTCACATCGCGTAATTGATATTCATGAGGTTGATTTGAATTCGTAAATTTACCATCAAGTTGGCAATACACGCGCACTAATATATATATTTTTCTAGTTAAAAACTACCGCTTGTTCGCAAGTCGCCGAGAAAGGCTGATAAAAGCTAGGAAAATCAGAATAAATGTAGCTTATTATAGAGATAGTAGGTGCTAACAAAAACTAACTATGTTTACTTCTATCACTTTAAAAGATTATGAATTTTCATGGCAGTTTTAGGGCTGGGAATTAACCTATAAATAAAATGTTGAGAGAAGTCGCCAAAGCCGGTCTTTTTCTTATATCCCACTAAATTTATTAGATGACAAAACCAAACCTCACATTACATTCAAATGTTCAAGAAGTGATTTCCAAGTTCAACAGGATAGTCAAAAACACATCTAAATGGTGCAAAACTTTGTCTGAGTCCTTCTTTATTACATACAACAAAACATGAACTTAAATATTATTGCATAAAGGAATGGATTAGATATCGGAAATGTTTCCAGTTTATGTAAGAGGAGGCAACCAAAGCATTCTAGATAGGATATACAATCCTGTTTGATCCACAAATCTCAAAAAGTCAATCATTAGAATGATTATGATGGTATGCAACTATAATAGAATAATACAATTCGTGTCACAAATCGTGTCGTCCTCACACTCCTTGAGTAATCTGACATAGTCTACTTCCTGAGTTCAGTCCTGATTCAACACTGAAGTAAAAGGCATTTATAGGTCAAGTAGCGACTGAAAAATAAAGCATAAATCTGTAAGACGAGGCAGAGTGCAGTGCAGACTTCAGCACAGACAGAGAGAAACCACAATGCCCCATGATGTAACAAAATCAGTGCAATAAAACACAAACACACACCAATCAATTCATCGATATCAGCTGATTCGTGGCACGTGATGGTTGAGGTATTTTAGGAAATGATTCTGAGATACTTGAGGTAGGAGCCGGAGTCTCTTTTACATTGTGGAGAAGATGCAGAACACGTTGCTATAAATAAATACTATGAGTAAAGGCTAATAAAAGGTTTACATAAGCAGTATGTATATATATATATTAAATATGTCTTTCAGCTCTCCTGTAAAATGGGAGTAAAAGGCTGTTAAATACATTCCAAACATTACAGGCAGCTTGAGAAAGGAGCCAATGTCTTCACCATCGACGGTGGAATGGGCAACATTTGTTCAAAAGAATAACTTATTTCTCTCTATCTTGCTCCAAGAAACCCCTGAGGCCAATTGTCAAAGACAAATAGCAAAATATATTGCTAGCAGACACACAGATCAGCAGCATTTAAGACAAGACAGCAAATACCAAGCCCAGATTTGACTGTAGACTGAAGTTTAGAGATAAAAGTGTGATTGATTATGTACTTTCATGTCTAATAGATTGAGTTATTGTTTGAAGATAACCGCAGATCACTAGTGACAGATTTGGACACGTGTAAAAGGAGCCGCTGGTTGAGAGAGCCAGGTCAGCGGTTTAACATTCATTTGGTCCTTGGTGATCAGGACAGTCTATTGCAAAATTGGCAATCGCCAAACCCCCAACTCAAGCCCACCCCAAAACACCACCAAAACATTTTCATAAAAGCATCACGAAATACAAGAAACATTCAAATGCATCAATCAGTCAATAATCTGTAAGAAAAGACCTTTGTTTTGAGTATATTCCTTACGGCAGCTCTAGACGAACTCAGTAGAGAAAACACTTTTAAAACTCACTTGGGGGCCGTTTACACGATGCCGTTTTCAACTAAAAATGGAAAACATTTTATGCGTTTTGGGCGTTACATTTGAAAACAGGTATCAAACAGCACATTTAAAAAACAATGATACCATTGTTGTCTGTGTAAACTACAAAAACGTGAAATTGCGATGCAAATTTTATGACGTGTTCGATTTGTTGGCATGCGTGAGTATGTAAGAATGCATATGTGTGCAGGTGCATAGCGTTTCTTTACAAAGTGACATCGCCAACTACTGGCCTGGCATGTATAATACAGCATTTTCAGTCTTGGATCATTTTGACAACGTTTGTATTCAAAACTTAAAAAGAAAAAAACGCCAAGGAAAACATTTCCGTTTTGTCGTGTAAACGTCCCCTCAATGAGATATGCGATAACTACTTCTGCACGCCAAACATTGTACTGAAATTCCTGAGAGCAGCTCTATTCCTGAGTGTTAAACCAATAAAAAAAAGTTAGATTCTTCTCATCTGTTGCTTTCATAGGGAGTTCCTGAAACAGCAGCATTAGCATTTTTGTTTTTTTCCCCCCCAGTATAGTGATATGATTGGTTTTCAAGCGTCGTCCCACCGTTCTCTGCTGTCTCAGTCGGCGCTCCCGGTGGATGTTGGGGAATGACTGCGCTCCACTTTCTCTTCTTTGACACCGCTAGACTTTCCCTGAGACCCCTGAGACGACTGCTGGGCTTTGGCGGGGCAGTTGGCGACCATGTGCGCGACACTTTGGCAGAAATGGCATCTTTTGGGTTGGGGAGGCAACTTGCACTCTTTGGCATGGTGGTCCAGACCGCCACAATTATAACACCTGCGGGACAATTATAATAAGAATTTTCCTTGATCACCATTATGAACAAAATCACTTAAGTGTCTTACAGCAAGGTTGAACTCAAATCCTGTTAAAGTCCAGGATGGGATTTATGGAACTCTGACTTTTAGAACAGTTTTGGGAATATAAAATAGTGATTGAGTGTGTTTCAAACAATCAGAAATCAGGTCATTCTAAAATGTATTTTATGTGAGAATTAATTAGGTTTGTTTCCTAAACAGTCTCGTAACTGGCATGTGCACATCAAATAGACACACAGAATGACTAAAAAAGGGATTCATTTGCCAATAAAAATTGGGTAGTGGCAAATACGCACACAAAGTTTGCATATGTGTTTTTTAGAGTATCATGTTTGATACTTCCAAGCTTTTATGGCTCATATAGTATGATATAGCAGAAAATGGAGCTTATATTCGAGGTGGAAAAACACCTCAATTTTATTCAGAGGCAAAATATGCAATTTGGTGCAGCTGCTGATGCTTATACGTATGTGACCCTGCACCACAAAACCGGTCATAAGGGTCAATTTTTTTAAATTGAGATTTATACATGACTAAATAAGCTGAATAAATAAGCTTTCCATTGATGCATGGTTTGTTATGATAGGACAATATTTGGCCGAGATACAACTATTTGAAAATCTGGAATCTAAATATTGAGAAAATTGCTTTTAAAGTTGTACAAATGAAGTTCTTAGCAATGCATATTACTAATCAAAAATTAAATTTTTATATATTTACAGTCGGAAATTTACCAAATATCTTCATGGAACATGATCTTTTCTTAATATCCTAATGTTTTTGGCATAAAAGAAAAATCGATAATTTTGAACCATACAATGTTTTTTTTTGGCTATTGCTACAAATATACCCCAGCGACTCGAGACAAATATGGACAAAAATAAGATGCCATTCTTGTAATGTAAATCAGTAAGAACTTTATAACAGTAAAACTAAGACTTCTTATATAAAATGCATATCACTCAGTTGTCATTTCCCAATAATGTCTTAGTAAAATGATATTGATATGACTAGTTTTATGATCAAAATGTTATGCAATGCAATGATGACTGAGAGATGAACAAATACATTTTCCTCAAAAGCCTGATGATCATATTTGAGACTCACGTTTGAACATGATTGTTCTAAAAAATGATGTATGGATAATCAAGTAAGTCAAGTAAGTGTTCATCTTGAAATATTACTAACAATATCAAAGTTATACTTATGCTTACTTTATAAAAATCAGTAGATATCAGAGCAAAAAGACATGTGAAGCACTAGCTGAAGGTGGACGTTTGTACAATTATAATAAAAGACCTTTTACTTGATAAAAAGTCTAAACTATCAATCAGACAACACAAAGCATGTAGTATATATTTGATCAGGCCTGTGTATCAAATAGGATGTGTAGGCTTTATAGGGTTAATGTTTGCCATCAGTGTGAGCAAATATTCCAATTTAAATAAAAAATGGCTTTTTTTTGTGTATTTTGAAACATGTTTTCCTGAATGTCCATTCATGCCCAGGCTGTCAGAGTTTACACAGTTATTTAGAGGAGGGCCATGTGCGGAGCTCCCAGTGGCATATGGGTGCCTGGTATGGGGCAGTCGCTGCTGCATTGATGTCCACTCAGCTGAGGTCATGTGGGTGACTGCAGGGCACAGGGGACTTTTGGGGGACACTAGAGTGGCTTCTGGTGGTTTACAGGCACTGACCCGAGGCCTTCATCATGCGACACGGACGGACAGCAGGCCAAGCGTGCAGAAGGCAATGACGGCCTTTGTTTGAAAAAAGCTGCAGCAGCAACCTATGAACTATAACCTCTTGCCGTCCTAGCCCCCAAACACCCCACCCAGTCCCTAAACACATGCAGTTTCCATGGCAATCTTGACCCCTGACCTCTCTCGGGCACCTTCATCTGTTAGCAATTAAATAAACTGCAGCGTTTTCTCCTCTGCATCCTGACTTCAAGCATTCTGCTCTCCCTTGTGAAAAAGGAGTGTGTTTAATTGCACTGAATGTGCACTTGTAGTGTTCTTCAAATCTTAAAAAAACTGTACTTGCAGATAACATTAAAGGAATAAAAGGACACTTAAGTGTACTTAAAATTAGATATTTTCTTATTCCTTAACACACTTATGTACACTTTTTTAAAAGGGCACTTTGTAATAATGTCAAATTAAAAGTTTTTACTTTATG